CGGAGGTTTGTGTCCCACTTTTGCTCCCTGGTAGCTACCCTCACAGAGCTTTGTAGGAAGGGAAAGCCGGACAAGGTAGTCTGGACCAAGCAGTGCCAGAGGGCTCTCTGTGTGCTGAAGGGGGCATTTATCCAAGGCCTGGTGGTGGTAAACCCGGATTTTAACAAACCCTTCCTGGTGTTCACCGACGCCCCAGAAACAGGGCTGGGTGCGGTGCTGATGCAAACTGATACTATGGGGGAGAGACACCCCATTGTGTACCTGAGCAAGAAGCTGCTGCCCCGGGAGCAGCACTATGTGGCCATAGAGAAGGAATGCCTGGCTATGGTGTGGGCGCTTAAAAAACTGCAGCCGTATCTATTTGGGCGGCGCTTCACCATGTACACTGACCATGGCTGCACCAAATGAAAGGAACTAATGCCAAGCTGCTGAGATGGAGCCTTCTCCTCCAGAGTTATGACATGGAGGTGGTCCATGTGAGGGGGAGTGCCAATGTTATAGCCGATGCTTTATCACGGGGTGGGGGGGCCCTGAACTTCCCCAGGTCACTGGCTAAGTTACCCTGCTCCGTTCAGCCTCGAAGGGGGGAATAAAGATGTGACGAAGTGGGGGATTTTCTTGTTTTTTCCTGGTCTTTCCAATGGTTTGCATACAGAGGGGGTGGGACTCAGTTTCCCTGGGTGTAATTGGTTTAACGAGGTGAGGGGAGAGGGAGTTTGCTGTTACAGAGGACCGGAAAGGGAACTTGGGACCCCAGCCAATGGTCTGGAGAACGGATACCTCAGCGACTGGTGACCTGACGACCTGGTGACCCGGAGGCCCAGCTCAGGAGTCACAGCCAGTTCTGGCCAGTGGGAGGACAATGGGCTGTAAAGAGATGACCCCGGGGACCTAACCAGCCGGTTCTAGCCAGAGGGGGCCAGAGGACAGAAGAGAGGAGAGGAGGCCCAGGCCACCCTGTTTACAACCCTGTTTACCTGGAGAGAAGACAATGGACAGAGATGGGGCTTGGGGCCCGTGATATCAGATGCCCAGCTGGGAAGCAGGGGGGCTCGGGACTGGAGAGAGGGAGCAGGCAGAGCCCACCTGGATGCAGGGGAGACTGGGATGTGCTGTGCTGAGGGAGGCCAGGCCTGAGGCCCTGAGAGTTTCCTGTGCTGTGTTCAATGCTCAATAAACCCTCCTGTTTTACGCTGGCTAAGAGTCACTCCAGTCTAGAGAACAGGGTTGCATCAACCCCTTCAGGGGGGTGGAGGCCCCGGGGGTCCAGAGCGAGTGGACTCCCTGAGGGGTCCCACGGCAATAAACGGGTGTGCTAAGTCTCAGAGAGGTGTGGCTCTAGGAGGTGGAGGGGCCTAACCCCGAGAGTGGACCCCCGAGAAGGGCTGTCTCACTGAAAGGGGTACCCCCACACAGACCGCACGGGGCCAAGAGTGGGCACGATCTGCGAGTCCGTGACACAGAGTACAGGGTCTAGTATGATTAATAGCAGAGCTCGTTGACTGGACTCTGTCTCCACCTCTTCTTCCAACACCCTCCAATGAACACTCACATGCCTGTGTACTATTGGAAGAGGCAAAGCCACCACCTTGTATTTAACAAATCCTAAGTAGGTGCAGTAGTAATACACACAATAGTCCAGAAAATCCCCCCTGGAATTCTAGCTAGTAGCATGTATTTTGTTTCAATCAGCATAAAGTATCTCACCAGCCAGTCCATCGGCATATAAGCAAAACAAGTTAAAGGGCACAACCCATATATGGTCACTGGCAGTATGAGCAACATTAAGAAGGATGAAAGTAATTAGCTTGTTTCACAGTATAATTGCTATGTTATCAACTGAAAGATTTATTTTTAATTAGAGTAGGTAAAAATAATTAACTATAGGCCACACTGTCTAAGGCCAGGAGCTCGTGGATCCTAATCCTAGCTTTGCCACCATTGCCTGTATGACCTTCAGCAAGTCACCTCATGCCTTCGTTTCCCCATTTTTAAAAGAAGGATTACACTGACTTACTCACACAAGCAACTGAAAACTAATTAATGTTTCACAGAGCTCTGAAGATGTAAGAACTACACAGTCACTATGTAACCTTATTACCGACTGTGCAAAGGAACAAAAGAAAAGAGATTACGGGGCAGAGGTAAAATATTGTTTTAATAATTACAGACATTTTCCATACAAAAGTGAATGAGCAAAGCATAGTTCCAAACCTAATGTCATTCTTACTAGTCATTCTACCAGCACACTTTCTAATTAACATTCTGTCATAAACCCAGCCTTAACTAGTACTAGATTAAATAGGGTTACCATATTTAGTGCCTCCGAAAGGAGGACACTCCACGGGGCCCCGCCCCCGCCCCCAGCCCCGCCCACGCCCCAACTCCGCCCCCTCCCCAAAGTCTCCGCCCCCTCCCCTGCTTCCCGCGAACATTTGATTCTCGGGAAGCCTGAAGCAGGTAAGGAGGGGTGTGGGGGGGGAGGAGGCGCGGCCCAGGCTGGCCCCCCCGGCGTTTCCA